TCCATGAATTCTAATTTCTGCTAATTTGTGAATTCATGAACCATTTGGTTTTGGCCTAGGTAGCCGAAAGGCTAAAGAGCACGACGCTGTAACACGAAAGTCCTGGGTTCAATCACCACTGAGGTCTTAGGTGAGTGCTGCTGAACCGTAGCAAACTAGGACGAAATAGCTGTTCTGTACTACCTGGTTTTCAATGGTTCTGTGACGGAAATCAGACTGTGGTCAAAGTTGGGACAGATGAAATGCCTACAAATTAACTCTTGAAAAAACACTACGATTTTTCAAAGTGGTGCGGAATTATTAGGACTAGTAGGCAAGTACAGCATTGTGGAATAAGATGAAAATTTTGGCAAGATAGCATTGCAAAATGTTATCCTGAGTTATATAAGAAAGTTTAATAAGTGAAGTTCAGCAATGGTCATCGTATCCCCACAACCTCTCCTCTTAAGGTTATCCACAAAGCGAAAAACCACCACATCAAAGTAATCATGTATCCTACTCATGTGTTTTTCTGAAGCTTGAGCTATTGCAATATAGCTCTGTATGCAGAAGTCTGTACAACCATGGTGCGAATCCGTCTACACCAAACTGTAATAATCCGCTTTTCTATTTTGACCCTTTTTAATTTATTATTTTGTTTATTCAGTCGCTTTATCCATCCTCATCAGTTCGATTGGAATTATAATGATTTTCTTTTTAAATAATTTCCGGTATAACCTCACTCATCACCCTTTATCTATTTGATTCGGTAAATTTTTCTGCATTGTTATATAGTCAAAATACTCACCTTGTTCCTAGTGTTTCATTTGCCTACAAATCTTGGTTATTCTACACTACCAATGGAAGTGGAATACTTGAAAAGATTAGCTGTCTTTGATCATAGTTGTCTACGTTCTATGCCCCATGTTAGTTGGCATAATAGTGTTATTAACACTCAGGTTGGGCACTGAGAGTTAGGTAAGGAGGAAAAGTCGGCTGATGAGGTTGTGAAGGTGAATCGTATCACCTTCCTCGACGGGCAGTGTTAGCTGCCATAGGATCAGGTTGGAAAAGAGATAGTGTTGGTAAAAATTGGCATCAATTTATGAAGTCTCTGAGAGTTATTTTGTGGTATATGGGGAAGTATAGGTTTCCTGGTTAGGATCTTCAGGATCCCTAGAACTGATGGCTGGAGACAGTTGATGATATGGCTAGAAATCGTTCTCAGTGGCACAGATACAATCTACCTTTGTACTTCCCCATATCCACTAAGCCGTCATGTCCCTCCCTCACATTTCTGACTACGGTTATTTTCGAATCTCGTTTTCTCTCATTTGTCTTCTTTTGTTGGCTGAATGCAGTGTGGTAACTCCAGCTGCTGAACATCTGTGCAAAGTTCAGTCAGTCACACCGCCTTTATAAGATTCACACATTCTACGAACAACTTTCTAAAAAAATTACAATATGTTTTGTCACTCGATGATTATAATCACAAATATTTCGTCACAATCCAAATTATCGTTTCGAAAAATGTGTGTTTATGCAATTGTTAGGCTTGATAATAAATTCGTTGAGATCAGTATTTTTGCTGAATTACTAGTTCGTACTATGAGATACTTATAGTGAATGCAAACACGATCGTTAGACTTTAGAAAATTTTAAAAGGAAAACACATTTCTCTATTATTTTATGTTTTTATTCAGTGCATAAAAAGTTGGCATTTTTGGCACTTGCCCTCTATAAATAATTAAATTACGTAAAACTGCTTAAGGTTTCGCTAATTGCTTTATTGAATTCATTAATTTTGAAGAGAAAATCTTTTGCCAAACGGCTGAATTCAGTTTGACCTAACTTCTAATAATAAATACTGAGTATAATTCAGATTTATAACTTATAGCTTTAGTGGATTGCAGTTCACAGTCAAGTGGAAGCCAATATGTATATATAATTCTTGTCATTAAATATCCGATTTTCCCTCTTTTTTGAGAGAGAAACCATTGTCAGGAGAGATGAAATAACTATGCATATTTATTATGCATAAATTTCATACTCAGATCTGTGCTAAACCAGAAGGGTGGTCTGAAGTATTACGCATGACCAGTGTGGTCCACTTTTAATGCGTAATCTCACTTATACTCCACTGAGTAATAAATACTAAGCCCAAGTATTTTCTATCATCTTTTCTCCAGGATGCGAACGAATCTCTCGACAATATAAATCATTAATGAAAACAAAACACGCAGTTCAGCAAAGAGTATGTTTTCGGTGAATTCAATTTTTTTAGCTGTACAATCACAAATATTTACGGGTTATTTTGTATGCTAAAAAGAGACTCTTAGCTGAATTACGTGTTTTGTTTTTAATAATGTCTGGATGGGGATTATTTGTGAATATAAATCATAACATTTGAGTGGATACATGTGACTTAACAGTAGACATTACATAGTTGCTTTCCTGATTTCATAAATTCCTTTATTAATTGTGTATATCCATTTTCGTGTGTAATCTTAACGGGCATAACTGCTTCAGTGAATATGTGGCGAGTGTCACTGACAAGATTATGCAGGAAAATACTGGACACCTTTGATGTGTTTTTCAAGAATACTGAATAGCACAGGGGTAGATTAAATGATGAAGAGAGGAAATAAAAGATCTTTGTGAAACAGCAAAGGAAGACATGGGAAGCACAGTACGGATACTATTTATAAATGGATATTTTAGCGTAAGGCACAGCATTTCTCCATATCTGTACACCAATGTGTCAGTAAATAATTCTTCTACTAAGTACAAGAGTGTTTTGCTGTTGCAGATGTATGTTTTTGAGTCAAAGCACAATAACTCGAAGACTTATCTTACTTTTAATAGTCTCTTGTTGTGTCTAGGAATAAAATATTTTTCGGATAAATCACACCTACTGTATACACTTATAAATAATAATAGTGATGATAGTTTTATTCTGGGCAAAATATTCACAAGATGCACAGGAGTCAGCGTAGTTTGTTGCGCAATATTTTCTCTTCATACAGGATCCTCATTTAAAATAGCAATCTACTGTACATAATGTAACGCAGTGCTGTCTGATCTAAAGCGTAGACTAATTCTTTATGGTATGTTTCCGTGGTCTTAAAAAATGAGCAATAGTAGTTTGAAAGACAATCAGAAATGTACGGGAGTACATTTCAGTTAATGGTTAAAACAATAAGAACTAGGGAAAATACGATACGACGTGTTCGGTGGAAATTGAAGTAGCTCAATGATTCAAGCATCCAGACGACCAGCTATACCTAATCCAATTAGACTTTTGTTTTCCTTACTTTGCTCTTAAAGGCTTATTTTATTAGAATATTGGAAGTGTGTCGATTTTTGGGAAAAGTCAAAAATACCTAAGATAATCTGACTACATTTAAGGACACTCCTTCATGAGCCCATATTTATGCCTCTAGAGTTTTCCTTTATTATTTTTCCACCATTCATGGATAATATTCACACGTTCCAGTGGCTAAATTGTTTTCGAGCTCGTCTTGTGACCTCAAGAACCTGGCTTCGTACCTCATTTGATGCATAAACCTAACATTAGTACTTGCGTCAGTGGTTCAGTGGTAAAATGCTCGCTAACCATGGAGGTGATCCGGGGTTCGATCCCCTTTGACGAACTCCTAAGCCTCACTTAGCCGACAACACACCCGGCTAAGCGGGAAAGTTGGGCTAGCAACCCCATCACGTAAAAAAATAAACAACAGTGCCACTGAGACATCAGAGTTGAAGCTTGAGGCTCTATGTTCCAATGGGAGGGAAAAATGGATTAATTTAAAAATTATAATACATCCGTGGATATGAATGAATGTGGTCTCCATCCAGCAAACCTGATAATTGTCTGATAGACAGCCTTTCATCGCTGAAATAATCACCTACTTTTTTCTATGAATCTGTTCATTATTTATTTTAAATTTTTTAGACCCATTTTCATAGTGTTCTGTATTCACATGTAGAGTGTTTCAAATAGGATTAAGCAAAACAAATAGAACGCGACAAAAAATGGCTCAAGATATTGAACTATGAACAGTGTAAAATTTAAAATGTGAGTACAGCACAATACAAAGATATACATCACTCATAAGTTATTGAAATTAAGATCTAAAAAAGTAAGAAATAATATATTCTAAATAAATAAAAAGCTGACATTATGAATTTTCAATAAATTATCCAACAACTGATTTATTTTCAATTTGTTTTAATCTATTCATCAATAGACATTTACGCGGTAAATTTAAACAGAACTATGCCTGGATATAATAAAATATTAATTGAATAAATCGAAAAGTTCACTAGCTTTATGGAGATTATGATTTGTACATTTTTAAATGATTTAAACGAATCGGTGAACTGAATCAATATCTCTGTTCGATATTTTGAATAGGTTTATTATTACCAGGACGCCCTTATTTGTTTAGACACATGTGTAAATAGGGGTTGGTATACTAAATGTTAATTGTATATTTTATTTTCGAGGCGACAATGAAAAACATTGAGTTGTTTTAGAATTATTGTTTAGAAGATGTAAAACTCACAGGATTCTTTCTTAAACCAAACTGAAAAATTCATACAGACCACTAGGCACTGACTATTCTTTAGGGAATGCGTTATGCAATGTAACTATTTCCTAACTAAGTAATCGGTTCACTTTAATTACATTAATATTCGTTCCTTAGATTATGAGTGAGATACAGGTCTTCTGATACGTACAGATGTTCTCTGTTGTCGATTTTAGCTGACTGACTACAAACTTTAATTTCCTCTATGACACCCTCAGTTGCCCAACTCATTAATTCTTATTCAGATGACTTCCGAATGCCTAAAGTGTGGTGCGCCTCAATGGCCTCCATTGAGTACTTCCAACCCACCTACATTTCCTCCTGAGAAAACGTTCTTGGCTGGTTCGCTGCCAGAGTCCCATATTGCCTATCTTTTCTCGCTGGCCATCTTATCTTCAGCATAGAGTAAAGGCAGCTGTTAACGAAAACCTGCTGCCGACTGTTGAGAATCCTTTTCGTGACACAACAAGTCTCCGAATCATGCAGAAGCACTGACTTTACATTAGTGTTGAAAATTCCGATCTTGTTCCTAGTGTTGACTGTAGTAGGTATCCACATCGACTTCAAAATAATGAGAACCTCTCTTGCCTTCCCAGTCCTAGGTGGCTTTGATATCCTCATTATTGCCTCAGTAAGTAGTTGAAACGATGCTGCCCAGGAAGTGATTGAAAGAGACAATCCTCTTCATACTGCTTGTTTTGATGATGATCGGTGTTTCTTTCCGTTGTTGGTCGGTTATCTCCAAAACTTTCTTCCTCTCTAAGCTCATTTGAAATCTTTTTCTGACTCTAGAATTCAGTAACTCGGCTGTTTGACGTCATTCCACCGAGACTCACCACTGATCATCTTGACCCCAAATAATAAAAACTGTCCTCCGGTGATTTTAACCATTTTGGCTACCAAGCAATATTAGTTGGTGTGATGAAATGTTTCCCTGCTAGTCATATCAACCAGTAGTATATACCGTCATATTTAAGCTAAAGCCGATGGAACAAGTGTTTAATAAACGTTAATATATATAAGATAAGATGTGCGGATATCGCGTTAGTCGTTTTGTACTGAATTTCATTTTCTTTCAGATCTTGTCAAACCTTTCTGCTTAATATAGATCGCATATAACACTGATAGAACTCTCATGGCAAAATGGTGGAAGTTAGGCTTCATAGGCCATTGAATGCTGTCCAAATGATTGAACCGTGAGCGGGTTGGCCTAGTGATATGATTGTCTTGCGTTCCGTCTTTGGTACTTATGATAAGTCGCAAAACCGGGACGAAACAACCATCCAGTCCTCCCTGGTTTTCAGCAGTTCTCTAACTGATGCCATTTCGTAATCAAATTTGAAATCAGTCAAATCTTTGTAAGCCAGCAATTGAAAATTACTATTTAATGACTAGTTGTTCAAACACGTAATCACAAGCAAACACATACCATAGAAATTCGTCGAAGATTAATTTATCTCTCATATCTCTACTCAGAAGTGATTGATTGAGCACTTAAAAACTGATGTCTCTATCCTCAGTAATTTGACTAGTCTATTTTTATTATTATGATATGTTTACATTGGTATCCAAGGTAAAAACACATCTTTAGTTTTAAGAGGAATGTTTAAATAACAAATATCTGCATAAATGTACCACAAAATGCCACAGCCCCATTATTATATTATCATCTTGGTACATGCAGTTTGTGATTTCTGAAGCTAAGAGAAACTAAAATTCAGTTTTGTCTTAAGGTAGAAAGATTTATAATACCTTCATGAGATGGTTTGTAAAACATTATACAGTGTACATTACTGTTACACTATATGTTACACCCAGCAATTAAGTCAGACGGTACTTATTGTCTGTAAGGGTATTCACCTACGACTGGTAGTTGTATACTTCAAATGAGATTGAAGTTAGAAAGCACTTTCACAATCCAAACATGAAACTCAGAAAATACAAGGAGATATCAAGCAGCCTTTCTATTGAAAGAGTATCAGCTAGTCACTTTAATCAATGATTTCTAATAGGAGGTGAGTTTGAAGGACCAATAGGTAATGTTAAATGTTAGTACGACTCCTTGTGCAACTGTTTAGTTGTGAAGCCTAATTAGTATATTTGACAAATCACTTTGCGAGATAAAACAATACCGTTTATTTTACCAATAGACGGAAACGGACACTTTTGAAACCACTATCTTGACTGCACGATTTAGTTGACCTGAAACTGATTCTAACCGAATTAGGGAATACTAGCTGATGTAAGTGGTGTCGAACTACTAACATCTGTCAATCAGCAGTATACAGCATCATGCGTCTATGCCTACTTTCTTGAAGGCCATTAATGGTGTCAAGCAGACTACATATTTTGATCGGATCAATTCCGGTTTTAAATGGAAAGCGTAGTGAAATTTCACCTTGTACCGTGTAAAGTGTATAATGTGGATTTTGATTCAACGTACTACCGGTTTCCCTAAGTTTCCAGGTAGGATTCTGATGGTTTGAACTGAATAAAACCCCGTACAATGCTAAAAAGCTTGGTCATAAATTAGCGCTGTGAAATTCGCTTTTAAGATCACTTCGATATGGCTGGCACACTCAACTAGTAGATGTGTGTGATATACCACTACTCACCTCGACCAATCAGTAGTATATGGTGTCAGTATTTAAGCCGAAATTTTTTGTTCACAATTATATATGAATGACAAAAGGCAATGGAATTACGGAATCGCAGAGAAGAAAAAGTATATGAGATGAAACAACTCTCCTGTTTACTAGGTGAGAATCAACTCCCTCACATTACCTAACTGAAATCTTGATCCATTACGTAACTTAGTGTTTGCATCCATCTTTTTTAAATACTCACTGGTATTTTTCATTTCTTGCATTCTGAACTGGGGAGGGAACTTCAGCGGCACGTCTGCATTGCACTCGATCCACCAAAATCTTTTTCTACTGACTACATGGCTTCCAACATTTCTGTACTAATCTCTGTTGATACCATTTGTTCTCAGTGACCTGTTTCTCTTAGTTCGCTACCCATGTTCAAATTATTCTTAAACACCAAAATCGTCCTCATAAATGATCATTCTAACTTCCTCTATAAATTATACATCGTCTTCGTTTTCAAAGCTCTATTCTCTTCTCATAAAATAAAACTGTGTTACTCAGTTAAAGCATGTCTAAATTATGTCACATTTATCACTTAGTTATTTTTTATTGTCCAGGTTATATGTAATTGATGAAAAAATCTATGCAATAAAATGAGTTCACCCTAGTCTGAAAAAGTTTTTCTCACTAAGCAACTCAAATTTTGTCCAGGGAATTATTCGCACAAAGATATATACATTTGTACATGGGAGTTGATGATAATGATAGATATACAAGTGATTGGTTAATCGTCTGTTTGATGAGTTATCTTTGAATTATCTTGGCTAGTGAAGTCTTTTTAGCCATTAAAACGATGACAAAACCTGAAAAACAACTTGGGAAATAATGTCGAGATTATATCACCACTACTAAATATTCGATATAATTTCTTTCTAGACAGCTTATTTTGAATTTCATCCAGACTATTTCTTAATAACTAATTAGACGGAATTCTTGTTGGCACTTGTCAGCAAGGCCTACTGTCCAGTACAGTCCTAAAAGAGGTCAGCCGAGAGCCCGAATAGTTCAGTAGTGACGTCTCTGACTGCAGAAATGTATGACGCTGGTTCGAATCTCAGAAAGGACATGGGTTCCCTGAAGATTTCAGATATGCCTCACTGACGAGTACCAGTAAGCACGAAACCTAAGTCGAAAGCTTCTAGCTGATTCTGTACAACCTTCTCATATCAACAATTCACAGTTCACAATGATGGTGGCCACATGGCAAGCATGACTGATAGAATTCAGACTGCACCAGACAAGGGACTAGACACATCATACTAGTTTCCAGCTGGTGTCCAGTCGAAGTAATTAGAAGACAGCTAGAGAACTGAGTATTTTGTATATATTCTGAAATTTTAAAATGTATTTATCAGACTAAGGTTGTAAGTAAACTGAATAAATATTATTCCACACTAAGTGGTTTAGTTTAAAATGGCTAAGCTGCAGCTCAGGATTACATGGAAAGCCAGATAAAGCAAGAAATAAAACTAATGCGTTCCATTTATAAGTACGTCTTTGGTTCAGCAGTAGAATGCTCGCCAGCCATGCAGCGGTTCCATTCACGACCGTCGCATTCCTAAACGTTTGCTTACACAGCAGCAATGCTCGCGTCAGTGGCACAACGGTTAGGATCTCCCTGAGGCTCGACCCTGCCGCGCCCACCTGATATCTATGGTTGGCCTGCAAAATTTGGCTACCAATATCGCATGCTGAAAATTCCATATCTGTACCCGAAAATACGGTGTGGAATCAAGCTGTATTCAAAAAACATTTTAGCACGAAACACTCAACTTTTCCTGCCTAAAAACAACAAAGCTTAAAGATTGAATCTCAGTGTTCCACTCGGAACAGAAAGGAGCCTATAAGAAGCTCATTTTCAATAATTACACAACACAGTGATGCTTTAATCACTAAATGAAGGTAAGAGTAGAATTTAGGCACGGGGGTAGAATATAACTCCATATCTGAAGAGTTTAATCGATGTAACGCATAACGTGTGGTACAGTATTAATAACTTAGTGACATTTATTACAAAGTCATATCAATGTATTCACATGACTTGAGAGCTAGCTTTATACAACCCTTCTCCGTACTGTCTTTTTATTACCGGTTGACGAAATAACACTGAGTATTCAATTACTGTCTAAACTTCACTGGATTCAAATTTCAGAATATAATATAGAAACAAACAAACAGCCTGACTATGAGATCACTGACCTCTCCATCAGTAGCAGACATATTCACAGATAGGAGATTAAAGTTCGCTAAAATTTTGATCCTTCTTCTAGGTTATGGTGAAGATATGCGGATAACAGATTCACAGTGCTAAAATCTCACCATATCCCTAAGTTTTTCATACATCTAAATTCAGTAGTGCATAAAATCCAATTCACTTTCTTGTTAGAAAATGAAAAGACTACAAAATAAAATAAAAACAGGGTGGTAATTTATAATACTAACATCTATAGGAGACCGACACATTCTAATGAGTACTTGGACTTCGAATCATCCCACAGAAGATCCGTAAACGTAGATCTAGTTCAACTTTTATTTAATCTAGACATGCGGGTAACTAAGAAGTCAGATGATTTAAATAAAATAAAGAAATCAATCAAATAGCGAACGTATTATTGGTAAATAACTACCCACCGGATTTTATTCAAAAATATCCGAAGACCCATGAGGAAAATAAGAATATTAATGTAAATAATGAAAATACTATAAACAATAAAAAAATCCAAAGTTTCGACAGTACAGCCATATAAAAAAGGGACATTGGAGCCCGTACGTAAGATTCCT